GGGTACAGCTTCTAGAAGACTGTTGTGGATAAATGGAAAATAAATACCATTTAGATTAAAACACCCACTTCTGTAGGGCCAACTGAATTAGGAAACCCCATTTGGAAGAGAGAAGCGGTTGGACATGGAGGCTTCTAAGACTTCTTCACCCCGAAGGGAAGGGACCGATGTGACAGAAAAGCCTCCAAGCCATGCCTGTTGAGGGACAGTGAGGTGCAGACCTTCCCCATCCCCCCTTGCTACCCAGAGCTTCCGGAGCTGCTGAGGGAGTTGAATGAGGTGGGTGGGGCTGTGATTTGTCAAGACCTGCAGAGGGCTGAGGGGCCAGGCAGTGGGTAACCCAGGACCACCCTTGACTCTGTCAAAGTTCACCATGAGGCTTTAATCCCACCATCGATCAGTTGAGCTTTAGGCCTCTTGTGAGTCAGGATCTGCGTGGAGCAGTGATGTATTTAGAGGCCACTCAGCACTGACAAGACTGATGTTTGGGGAACTCACGGTGTACCATCCTCCAAGACAGAAGCCAAATACTCAGCTTCCCCTAGGCCTGTGTGGTGCTCGGCACTTCCCCTCAGACGTCTCAGCCTGGACAGTCCACAGCAGGGAACCAGGAGGGGGGCTGTAAGAGGCTCTGTGGACTGTGGGATCTGTTTCTAGAGAGGTGTGGGAGGTACACAGTGCGCCTCGGGTGGAGTCCGCTGCGTCCTGCTGGGTCCCTGTCCTGCAGCAGCAACAATCAAGACCCCACTGGAGCACCCAGACAGTGCGGAGCGGGCTTGCACGGCCACAGGCCCCCTTGGAGACTGAGCACACACTAGGCAAGGGCACTCTTTCAAGACATTTCACTGCCCTCTTCTAGAAAGCGGGTACAACATACATGTCTGTTATGTAATACACATGTACATCTGTCCAGGCAAGGCATCCCTCCAGTGTGGTGGTGAAATGCGACACAGCTAAACCTGGCGCCTCTGGCAGCCTGACCCTCAGACCCTGTGGAAATCAGGGATTTAATTACCAGAGATTTAATTACCTCTAATGAAGGCTTTTTAATAAATAGGATGGCGTTTGAACGGAAATGGAGATAAGGCTTCCTTCCTGCCTCAAGAGACGACCATCAGAGGGGGTTCTCTGAGATGGTACAAGACACACAGGACACCTGGACAGTCATTTCATGCTTCACTGAAATGACTTTGAGACAAACACGATCGGCCTTCCTTCCTCATTCCAGAAGACTATTGGCTTGGCCATTTGATTTTGTCGTCTGGGTCCGAGCTCATTGCTAAAGATGGGAGCTGCAAGAATAAAGAATGTCAGGTATGAATATTCCAGCGGGGGGGAGGGGGCAGGGGTTGGGAGGGATTCAGGACCTGTGTGTGTGTGGGGGGGAGGAATGGCTGTGCGCATTTCCTTTCGTGCACTTTGCGCCCCCTATTGTTACAAGGAGGGATGACATCAGCCCGGCCATGGCTTCTCCGGTGCGCGCTGGTTGGTTTTGTCAAATTGACACAATCCTAAACGGAAGAGCCAATCTAAATCGAGAAAATGCCTTCCTAAGATTGGCCTGTAGGCAAGCCCACGCTACCTTTTCCTCGATTAAGGATGTGGGAGGGCCCAGCTCACGGTGGGCGGGGCCCTCCCAGGGCCGGTGGTCCGAGGTTGTGTAAAAAGCAGGGTGAGCTAAGCCACTGGGAGCAGGCCAGTGAGCAGTGTTCCTGTGTGGCGTCTGCTTCAGTTCCTGCCTCCAGGTTCCCGCCTTGAGTTCCCGCCCCGGTTTCTCTCAGTGATGGACTGTGTCCTGAGAGCATAAGGCGCAGTAAATCCCTTCCTCCCCAAGTTGCTTTGGGTCATAGTCTTCATCACAGCAATAGAAATCGAGGCCGTTTGGTGATCCAGAGGGCGTCTACATGCCTGTGTAGGGTGTGTATGAGTATGTGAGCAGGGGGGGCTGGGGGTCGGTGCAGGACTGGCTGCTGTTAAAAGGCTCAGCTGTCGGGTTTTTTTGTTTGTTTATTTTTTGGTTTTAGATGTTTCTGCTGTTCTGTTTTGGTTAGAACCGTTTGGAGCTAACTTTCTGGTTTAGGTCAGTGGGCATTCCAGCTGCTGAAAGCCCCTGCCGCAGGATGCAGACAGGCTGAAAAGGAGCTCGGTTTTCCCAGCGAGCGCTTCCATCCTTGTATGGCAAGTGGGTTGTTGACTGGTCTTCAGTACCCCCTGATCCTTAGAAGGGCCGAGACTGTTTCCTTCGCGCGTGAGCAAGAGCAGCGCGGCAAGGGCCGGCAGGGGGAGCTCGAGAACCACGCTAGCGCCCGCGCTTCATGCTTTAGCCTCTTCAGCAGCTGCCCCAATGTCGGCACAGTCTCAGCAAGGAGGGGCGCGGAACAGAGGGTAGGAGAGCACGGGGGTTGGGGGAGAGAGAGGTGGCGGGGCTGGGAGTGGGGTATCACTGATGTCCAAACTTCACGGCAGAACACTCCCAGAATATTCCTCTTTCCACTGCTCAGCGTGCAACAGGTGCAGACTGTCCTTAGAGTCTCCAGCCACGCTCCTGGCCAAGGGACGTGTGGCAATGAAGCCTCCCACTCAGCTCCTGCGTTCTCCACGGAGACCCAGCTCTACCCGACCTCCAGAGAAGATGTCAACCCGGCCACCTTCGTGTGGCCCCTACCTGCTCTGCAGCGAGCTGTGAGGACCAGCAGGAGGAAAGCAAGCAAAGGAGAAGGGAAGGATGGACAATGCCCTGGCGACAGATGGAAACCATGTGGGTCCCATCACCTTGCCACTCGCTTTTCTCCCGCCCCAACTTGCTGCAGGGCATCAGCAGAGCAGACGGTTGTCCCAGTAGCTTTGTGAAATTGTCCCTATGTTTCTTTTGCACTTTCTGTGGCAGCTGTCCTTCCGGGGTCATAGGCAGAGGTGATACCACAGTTCATACAACAGATGGAACAGACTGAGGGGAAGTTGACACGTTCTCCTCCCTTGCTGAATTCTCCACCCCAGCATCCCTGAAATGCACAGTGCCAGGATCTGAGCCCATGCCTCACAAGCGGCCTCATTCCTCAAGGGGTAATTCTGGATGTTAGGGAGTTAATTTCTGTTTGGACAACTGGTCTCCCTCCTATTGGCTTAAGCTGGACAAACTCTTGGCTAAACCCTCCCCCACTCATCGCAGCCCCAGGACCTATTCTGGTGCCTTCTCTAAACTTTCCTTTCCAGTTGAAGGTGTATGTTCCTTGGCTTGTCCTCAGAGGGACCCATCCTGCTCTCTTTCCTCCCTGAAGGCCCTTGGTGGCAGCTCTCTGTGCTATCAGGCCTGAGGAGGGCAGCCTTCACCTGGTGGGGCTCTGTGGAATTCCCACATGGTCAGGCTAGATCTTACTTCCAGGAGGAAGGAGTTCAAGGGCAGTCAGAGGTTAGGGTTCACTGGGCCCTAATCTCTACTCCTTCCCCATCATGATTTACATCCCTTAGCAGACAAAATGACTCCCAGATGCCTGAATTCCTGGGAGCATGTCAGCTGTGAAGTGACCTTCTAACACTGCAGGGTAGCCAAGGGCCATTTTGATGTCACTTGGAGACTCTGTGAAGAAGTAAGCCATTTGGCTGGCAAATAGCTTGGACATTGTTTTGATTCTAAATGTACACGTGTGACGGAGTGTGGAGGCGTAAATTGTTAAACAACCCCAGGTGACCTCAGAGGAGCACTATCTGCACAGGAAGGGAATGTCAGGCCAGCTCTTTGGCTTTCTGTCTCCTGTCGGGAAGGCTGGACTGGATCCTCTGCTGAAGGCTGTTCGGGTAGAGAGCTAGGGAGTGTTCTTTATTCCAAGACTTCTGAATGTGAGAACCAGAGTGATAAAGTGTTGAGGCCGAGAACACACAGCTCAGAGGAGATGGGGCTCAAACCCCAGGCCAGACCCTGTCCCCTATACTGGGAACTGCTGAATAGAAAGGGCCTACCATACCCACAAGGGGATGAAAAGCAGAGAGGGAGCTCTGGGTTAATCCTCAGTTTGTCCCACAATGCAGTTCAGTAATTTCACTGCAAGAATCTGGGCTCTGGGTCTGTGGTCTGGATAGGGGAGGCATCATTCAATGACAGGCATATTTCCCTCTCCCCAGCAGACCCCGAGTCTCTGGGTGAAAGGAGGAGAAGCAGCCCAACTCCTCAGCAGGGAGTGGGAGGTAGAAGAACATCATGGCAGCAAGGCTGGCTGGAGGCTACTGGGCCCTGAGCCAGGGAACTTATCGGACCAGATGTACTGCCACAGTCAGCATCCTGAGGGTTGTCCCCCTGTCACACACCACAGGCTGCCTCTGTGCACGCTTGTGTGCACAGATACACCTTGTGCCCAGGCTCTCTGGTGGCAGAGGCACAAGCAAACAGCATGCCTCACAAGATACCACCAGGAATTAAGTTCTGGCCTTCCTCCCTACCCCCAGCCCCTGATATGAGAACGGAAAATGGAAGGCCAGCCTGAACCACGGCATTAGACAAACAGACCTCACTTTTGCTCAAAACACTACAGGTGTGAAGGCTGAGGCAAAAGGATGATGAGTTTAGGGCTAGCCTGGGATACATAGTGAGTCCCTTCCTCCAAAAATAAAGCTAAACCTCCCACTTATCCTTCAAGTAATCAGAGCCAAACGTCTTGGGCTGGAGAGATGGCTCAGCCATCAAAGGACCCAGGTTTGATTGTGAACACCCACATGATAGCTCACAACCATTTTTAGGTCCAGTCCCAGGGGATCTAGTGTCCTGCTCTGGCCTCCTTGGGTACCAGGCATGCACAGACATACATGTAGGCAAAACCCATAGACATAATTTTTTTAAAAAGAGTCAAAGGTTTGTGTTTTGTAGAGGTGTCTTTGATACTCAAATGGTTGCACCCTGTGTTCTAAGCTGTTAGTAACGTCTGTAGGTGGGCGTGTCGCCATCCCCTGAACGTCCAGCCGTCACATCCCACAGAATTGCCACTCTCAATATCACTTAATCAAGTCACTTAATATCGTTTAATAAATAGGCCAGAAAAATTAGCTTGAGCATTTCTGGGCAGGATGCGGCGTGCGACCAAAGTTATGGAAGATTGTCCCTTGAATCACTAAGGCAAACTTTGTTGTGTGTCATTTTACATAGAGGCATCACACATAAAATAGAGTTATAAATAGAAAAAAAATTCCAAAGTTCTCCCATAGACAGGGAAGTCAGAAACATAAACAAAACAAAACAGAATAAAACAAACAAACAAACAAAAAAAATCCCACCCCTCCCCCACGACCCATTTGTTTCAAGTGCTTGCTCATACAGTACTCAACATCTTTGGGTATTTTACAACGTACAACTCCAAACTGCAGCCCAGAAGAAACAAACGACAAAAGCAACTAAGCCGTCATCTGAAAAAGTGAGTTTATAAGAAGTCATTACCTTTACAAAATAAAAACAGAAGCCTGACACCACTGCCTTCCCGGGGTCCCTCTATTGGTTCTGAGTCTGGTTCAGCTGCAGTCACTTGGCTGGTGGGACAGTGTGCCTATTGGTTGACGGGTGAACGGCAGACAGGGATCTAAGGGGCAGCTGCCCCGGCATGAGGAGCATGGGCTATCTGAGGGAAAGCCATCCTGAGGGACTGTCATCTGGTGGCACCGGCAGGCAGGGACTCTCTCTCGGGAGCTTCAGGAGGGACAGGGTCTGCTGTCTTCTCTGGCCTTGTTTTTTTTTTTTTTTTTTTTTTTTTGGTTTTTTTTTTTTTTTTCCGCTTGTGTTTGATTTGTACATGAAAAAGCCGAGGCAATTAGTATTGGAAGAACGTCATCTCGTGTACCAACGGCTTGGGACTCCAGGCTTAGGCCTTCCAAGCAGTTGGAGTCTCCTCCCTGGGATCTCAAGAAACCAATGCAAACTCAAGAAGGCACAGGCCAACAAAGCTGTCTTGCTACCAACCCAGAACCAGGGTGACTTGCTGCATAGAGCTCACCACAACCTGAGGGATTCCACCTCCCGGCACTGGAGCCCTTTGGTCAGATATGGAAAGGGGGAGCAGGGGCTCACACACAACAGAAGGGTGTCTCCAGCAAAGCCCGAGCCTGGAGAAACCCCCACTCAAGAAGCAAACAGAGGAGCCCTGGGTGGGTGCTAGCTGCTGTGACGCTTCCAGGGTGGGGGAGGCGGACAGGTAGCGTCTGTTAGATCCCATCCCCTGAGTGTCAGCTCAAGGAGACTGGACTCGAGAGGGCATGTGGGATGGGCCAGTGCTGACTGCTGTTCCCATGGGTGTCCAGATAGGACAGTGGCCTGCCAGGAAGTGGGGCAGAATTTGCCATGCTTGGAGCTGGCTACGGTCGGGTATTGAAAGCCATGAAGCCCAGCTTATCTCTTTCGCCCTGTCACCCCTGTCTAGTTCTGCCATGTCTCACGGGGGCTAACACTGATGTCCACCTGGAGGTACGAGGGGGAGGAGAATAAAAGTTACCACCCCCTTTCACAGCAGGGTGACTCTGAGGCACCTAAGGGTTGACCTGCCTAAGGTCACAGGTCAAGCCAATATAAAACAGGCTCACTCCATGCCGGCTCCTAGCTGCAGGAAGCCTGTCTGCCCAGTAGGGACTGTCTTTCCCCATGGCCCGTTTGCATTGCTCAATTGGATCTGGGACTTCTGCGCTGGAACCTGATTCCGAAAGTAGTGCTGGGAGGGCCTCCCCCATAGGGTAGCATGTCTCAACCAAGGTGCCTGGTCAGGACACAGTCCTCATGCTGGCTCCTCCGATAACTCTCTGGTCAGACTGCTCCCTCCTCCCAGCCCCATACCCCGGCACAATGCTCCTGGCACCAGCGCCGAGCTTTCTGAGACATGGTGCCCTGTGTGTTTCTAAGTGAATCAGAGACAGCCAGGGAGAGCTGGGGACTTCCAACCCTTAGGGGAGAGATGTCCAGGTCAGACACTAGCAAAGGGGAGACGCTGCCCTCGAAGGCCAGGAGAATAGCATCTCAGCTAAAGCGTATCTTCTCATTTTCCCTTTGTGTTTGCAAACTAGAAAGTTCAGATCCACTGGGTGGGCAGGGCAGGCTTTAGAGGGACTTAAGACAGGGTTTGGGAGTGGGGTGGACCAGGGCCAGCCTAGTTGTTGGCTTCAGACATGGAGGCCACGTGGTTGAGGCCGGTGAGCCCCGGGAGGCCAGCCAGGCCGGCCGCCCAGGGGTCGGGCAGCGGGAAGTAGGGGCGCGTGGTGGCCACGTTCTCGGCCAGCGCCAGGGCCAGGAGGCCACCCGCGTTCCTCTCGGCCTCCAGCTGCGCGCGTCCGAACAGCTTCATCTGCGTCTCCTCGAACTGCCGCTCCAACTCCTGCAGGCTCAGGGCGCCCTTGGGTGCCGCCAGGAAGTGCTTAGCGGGGCTGGGGCCCGGGAGGCACACGGCCGCGCCGCCCAGGTGGCCGCCCACGTCGCCCAGCGCGGGTGGCATCACGAAGGCTGCCTTGTCGGCTGCGGGGCCGCTTGGGCCGAAGAGCAGGCTGGCAGCCCTCCAGGCGGCGGGCTTGCGGCCGCGCCGGGGTCGCGCCATGCGGCAGCTTTGCCGCTTGATGTGGCGGTGCAGGTGGTCGGAGCGCGTGAAGCTCTTGTAGCAGAACTCGCACTGGTAGGGCCGCACGCCCGTGTGGATGCGCATGTGGTTCTTGAGGTCGTAGTTGTGCACGAACTTGGCGTTGCAGTGAATGCACAGGTAGGGCCGCTCCCCCGTGTGCTTCCGCATGTGGATCTTCAGTTTGTCCTGCCTGCAACACAGAAGCCAGCATTTAGTCCCTGCGTGGGAGGCCGGGGCCCGCTCTTCACGCCTACTTCAGGACTGGCTTCCTGCATCCACGGTGCTAGCCAGGAGCCGAGTTCGTCCTCAGGCGGACCTTCAACTTCTGCCCAAATGCCTGCAATTCCGGATTAAAGCAGGAGGGAACAGTGTCCTGAAAGACACCCCACAAGTTCTACACACAGGTCCAGAGCGAGAGTCTATTGATTATTAGGGGCCCATCCCACACTCCCGGAGAGACAGCTCAGCATTCTGGTGTGGGGCCTGTAGCGGTGAAAGGCCTCCCCTGCAGGCCCTGTTCCACACACCAGCCCCTGTCCTCAGCCAGAGCTCTTCCGGAGACTCCGGCAGCCTGGCACACCTTGCCACACAGGCTCCTGTGTGGCGGTTTCTTACCTAAGCCCTGGGCTCAGCTCTTTGCAGACATTTCAGGGCTTATGAAAGAGCCAGGTGCAGGAAAAATGCAGTCTGAGCCGGGGCAGAGCTCTGGGTTAGAGGCGTTATTCAGAGGCAAGGCATGGGGTGGGGCTCCAGCCGCAGACCCGCCATCCACTTGCTGAGCGACCTTAGGCAAGTTAGGTAAACCCTCCAGGCAGAGCTGAAGCTAGAGCCAGACATGGTGCCCAATGTCTAGGCTTTCTAGAGACTCGGGCACTGCTTTAGGGGTTGGGAGTTCAAGCCCCCACCCCCCACGGTGGTCTTGAAAGAAAGGCAGATGTTTTGGTTTTGTCATCTAAAGGCTGAGCATTAGTATAAGTGGGGGGGGGGTTAGGGGGCTTCCCACGTCCTCCCAGGATCATTGCACAAGCTCTCCCCAAGTAGCTAAAGGCTAGGAGCACCGTGCACCGTCTCCACCGCCTCCTTGCAGGTGGGGCTCGGGTGGTTTCTCTGCTGTCATTCCAGGTTGGGCTTTGAGGTCAGAGCAGATGTGGAGTTCCAGTGTCCTCCCTAAAGTGCCCAGATTTAAGCCACCCTCAGTGTCACCCTGGACAGCAGGGTGTCTTATGGCCGCTAGAGGTCGCACGGGATCTCATTTGGAAAATAGTTTTCCTGGGTGGATGCAAGAAGAGAAAAGATAGTCCTTGTGGGCACTGTCGGTGTGTGTGTGTGTGTGTGTGTGTGTGTGTGTGTGTGTGTACACGCATGCGCAGAGACCCCCTCCCTCCTGTGCTCCCTGGCACTCTCAGAGCCTGGGAGGTGGGGAGTGGGACCAGCAGGGGAGGCAGAGGAGGAAAGGGGTACAGTGCTCCAAGTTTCCTCCCTTCTAAAATGTCCAGCCACCTGGCCCGCACAGTCACCTGCCGTGACTTCCCAGCCCCCAGCAGCATATTCCCAGTGGCAGCTGTGACCTGACTGAATATTTAGCATGAAGGGGACACAGGGAACACCTGGCCAGTGGGTCACTCCTGAGCAAGCAAGACCTGACACACTTGTGACCTGAACACTCCTTTCCAAGGCGGGTCACCTGAGGAACCAGAGAAAGCAGGGTCTAAGAAGGTCCACGGTCCTGGGTTCAATTCTCAGCACTGGGGGGGAAAACCCAAATGTAAACCCAAGCCTGGAACCTGACAAGAGCCAGCCGCTCTTCTGGGCTGGTGGTCTCATATGCATTTGCATGTCTCCCACTGTGGGGGTACAAGACTCTCATCTGCATGTCTGAGGGCCTGCTAGGCCCTCCACCTGCTGGCAAGGGAGGACACCTGCTTAGAGGTGGCATGGGTGCTGTTTCCAGCAAGGGCCTCCATGTGTGCACACAGAACTGTCCCACAGTGCTAGGCGCTCCGGGACGAAGGGGGCAGTAAAGTCATCTGCAATGATGCAGAAATCAGGATGGCTGTGTGCTCACAAGTGGACTGTCCATCCCTCCTGGTCTCTCTGGAACCCCTACAGACCGGTCCCTCCAGGCATTTACGGCAGAGATAAACAGCTCGCAACCTCCTCGCCTCTGCTACTTGAGTGGACTCTGGGAACTGAAAGCATCCTTAAGGGGCACCCACTTCATGACCTCAAGTGACAGCTTGGAAACTGAGGCCTGGAGCTGGCAGGAGACTGGGTGAGCTGGGTAGAGGCAGAAGCTGGCCCAGCCCTTGACGAGCACCTGATGCTCCTTTCAAAGTCCCATGACCCACTGCTGACGAGCCAGTGGTCATTCCTATGCTGACTGACAAGCAGCGTCAGTGTGTGTGAACATGTAGGCTCACACACGAGTGTGTGTCTGGATAAGCTGTGCTACACTGTGCATGTGGGGGCCAGAAGACACCTTTTGGGAGTCAGTTCTCTCCTTTACCACAGAGGTTCTGAGGATGAAACTACGTTCTTCAAGCTTGGCTTTGGTGGCACATGCCTTCACCGGCTGTGCCATTTGGTCACCAAGAACCCCGAAGTCTCACTCTGATGAGGGCAGCACAGGTGAGGATAGTGCCTACCGTCTCTCTCTGGCTCTGCTTTCCTTGCCTGTTATCTCCTTCTATTTTCCTCAGCTGAGTTAGCACCCATCTCCTTCCACCCAGGGTAAGGCCACAGTAGGAAAGAATGCTTGGGGCCTTATGGGCTTGTCCCAGTGAAAGGCAAGGTCAGGGGTCAGGGAGGTCCCACTGGGAGGTTTCAGTCAGTCTAAAGTCTCCCACCACTGTCTACCCTGACTTCCTGTGGCTTGCTGGTCTGATGGACTCTTCCTGCTACCAATGCTGATGACATTTAGGTTCCCAGAGCTGTTGGGAGGGGTTCTCTAAGAAAAAAGGGAAGAAAGTCTGTGGCCAGGCCTTGTTGATGCCTGGGAGAGGGGGGCTGGCATCCAGCTGAGGCTGTTGCTGGACAAAGCTGGGATTATTTGCAAGGGATTCTGCAGAAACTTCTCTTGGGAAACCAGTGTGGCCTAACCTTTGCCTGGGTGGCTTGTTCTCCAAGGGACCTCTGTTGGCTATGGGGAAGCATCTTTTCACCCTGCCTCCGTGTCTTGCTGTCTGCCGTGTCCAGGTATCTGAATGAGGAGGCTGTGGGAAGCTTGAGGGACTCAAGAGGAACATCAGATAGTCCTTGCTCTCTAGGAGTTCCTAGCCACGGGACTGGGAGAAGCACAGGGCAGGACCTCATGGCCTCTGACCAACTATGCAATGGGAAGGGAAAGGAGGGGACCTGAGGCCTTCTTGGAGCCCAGGGCCTGGGAGCAAGGGTTGTCATTGGAGAAACTAAGTGCTCAGATGTCAGCTGCAAGGTGAGGTCAGCTGAGCCTCTACTTGTCTTCCCTCTATTTCACAGCGCATCTGAGGTGTCACCTCTCCAGCCCTGCAGTCTTGCCTTTTGGCCTCCAGACTCTTAAAACTAATCATGGGACAATGGGTGGGACTGAGAGCTCACAAGGAAGACTAGGGAACAGCTGGGCATGGAAAGTCCCTGCTCTTGGAGCCCCATAGAATGAAGGCGGCAGATGGGACTTGGGGGTGGCAAGGCTTCTGCCTGGAGAACTCCACCATGGGCAATGCCATAAGAGTCCAAAGGAATGTTGTCCCCATGGAGTGTCCTTTTAGAAAGTGGTGTCTATTATCATGGAGAATCTTAGCATGCAAGGGAGTCTGGGAATTCCAGGTCTGGAGGCAGTCACCCAGTTGAAGGCTGAGTGTGTGTGTGTGTGTGTGTGGGTGTGTGTGTGTGTGTGTGAATGTGTACGCATGCACATGCATTTCTGCCCATTCACGTTTGTGTGCATGTACATGTTCATGTGTGTGTGTGTGAGTATGTTTGTGTATAATCAACAGTGGCCAAGGAGCTGAGCCCCAAAGCATATCCTCATAAAAGGATGAATGAGAACTGGCTACAGAGAGTATCTTAGGAAAATCTCAACCTGGCACGTCCAGGCTGGGGTTTTGGATGGATAGCTCTTGGATGGGTAGGAGAGGATTCTTTCAGGGCAGCCCTGGGGAGGACAGCAAGCAAAGGGCCAGTGGCTCTGAAGAATGTAATGGGAGTGATGAGCATGGACAGCCTGAGTCCTTGGTGAGAAAAAAGTCCCTGATGGGAGTCTGGATTCCAGCAGAATCTCCTGAAGTTCCTGCCCCTGACCTTGGAGAGCAGCCCTTATAGCCTGCCTGATCTTGTTCAGAAGGGTCAGGGGTGTGGGAACCAAGAAATGGGAGTTAAGATGGGGGATAGAATGTAGTTGCTACAGGCAGGCCTGGAGCCCAGATGGCTCTCTTCTTACAAAGGAGGAGGAGGAGTCACCCTAGGGCAGGCAAGGTGGAGCCTGATAGCCAGAAACTCTGAGGGCTGAGCTGACCTAGAGATGAGGGACTGCTGTAGGCAGAGGCCACATGAAGCGGCCTTCAGGAATGCGTTGGGAGGAAACATTCTGGAATTTCATTCTTCTACACAAAACAGAATTGTTTTGTGACCCAGGGATCTCCCCTGGAGAGTGCTCTCGTGTCCAGAGGACTGAAAATGTCTGTGTGCAGGGACCGAACAAGTTTAAGGTTTTGCCTAGGAAAGGCAGGCTGAGACCTGCACAAAAAAAAACAAAACACAGAAGGCCAGCTTGTGAGAGATCAGAGGGAGGGGCAGGAAGGAAAGAGGAAGGGGATGTGGGCTTCCAGGAGCTCTATATGGGTACCCTAAGTCCCCCGAGGGAGAGTTGCTCCCTTAGTCATTCTGCCTGTCAATAGACACGGGAAGTTAGGGCAGAAGAACACGGCTGGGCCGGGGAGTCGGCAGCTGCACTGCTCCATTAGGTCTGGGTCTTTATCATCTTCTCCTTGGGGCTGGACTCTCACAGACCCTGCTGAAGACAAGTGAATCACACTTGAACTCAGCCTGTGTTCGAACTCTGCCTTATTTCTCTGGTATTCCATGCCATGGCAAAGCCTTGCCCAGGTGTCCTCAAGGCCAGCTGGCTCTGTGCAGCCAGATGAATTCAGGAGAAGAGGGGAGGAGTTAGGGGCGGCATAACTCAACAGGATTTCAGTGTGCTGGGACGTTGTCAGGGACACCCAGGGGGAATTAATCTGGGAATTTGGGATCCGGCTGCCCAATGAGAGAATAGGAGCACAGCGCCCTGAAGCCAGCATTGCAGGGCTGCTGTGGCCATCTGCCAAGAGGCGCAGAACCAGGTGAGTGAGGTTATTCTTCCAAGCCCCCTGGAACTATCCACAGCAGATTCTGTTTCTGGTTTCCATCCCAGAAGTGGTCTGAACCCCCTCCCCCCAGTGTTGTCCTTCGAAGGAGTCACCAGGTTCCCTGCAGAGCCATTTCAGCAAGGCCACCTTCACCTGAACGCATTCTGAAGTCCTCTCTCAGCTACTTCAAATAGAATTTCCTGCCACCCATGACAACAGCCCCGGTCACTTTATAGGATCTCTCTTGTTTTCTCCTGGAAAGGCTCGGCCCCTGGTGCACACTGGTGCACATGGTGCATGATTCAAAATCTCATCCCATCTATGAAGGCCAAAACTATGCTTACTACAAAACACACACACACACACACACACACACACACACACACACACACAAACCACAGAAGTCAAATTCCAAGACACACTATTAGAATAAATAGGTCTATTGAGGCAAGCTCTTTGAAGTGTGCAGTGGCAGTGGGAAAGGACCTAGTTCAATGAGCCATGGCTGCAAGACAGGTGCCAATAGGCTTTGTCCACATCAGACACACTGAAGTGATGATGGAAAGCCACTCATCAGAACTCTCCCACTGTACAACCTTGCTGAGAAGATCTACCTTTACTCCACGGACACTACTGCTACCAACAGGCCAGATCTCTCTCTCTCTCTCTCTCTCTCTCTCTCTCTCTCTCTCTCTCTCT